GCACGCACACACACCAGTGGCTTCCGTGTGCTAGGTACTCATCTCTCTGCTGAGTGAAGTCTGGAGGCAGGAGCTGCTGGGCAGGTGGACAGTGGTGCTGTCCTCACCCGTCTCTCCATGTCGCTCTTGCATGCTGCCTCATGGCCCAAAGTGGCTGCTCAAGCTGAGTCTTCATGCACACATACCAGTTGAGGCTGGTGCACCCTGCTTTCAGCCCACAGGACAGGGTGGAGTCATGTGGCCGCACTTTGTTGCAAGGATAGCTGGCAGTAGAGTCCTTTCAGCTGAGCCGTGGTGTGCTGGTGCAGGTCCAGCCACACTGGCTCAGGCCTGGCCCAGCTTTGCCTTCCATGTCCTTGCTGGGAGGTCAGTGGCTAGGACAGGGGCCCTGGGGCCAGACTAGTGGCCTTTATAGGGGCCATTTGTGCAATCTGCAGATTCCTAAACCTGATTTGAAGACAACTCCCCGTGGATAAATCTTACATGGTCACTCACCGGGACAAAAACATGTCCCGCTCACGTGTCCCTCTCCCTTCGCAAGTCAGACCTGTCGGATCGTGAGCTCCTCTCTCTAGCCTGCGCTTCATCCTCAGAGCAGTGGGCCCGTCCTTCCTGTTCTGAAGACAGAGGCATTGGCGTCTCTGCCTCGCTGTGGGTGCTGGGCTGTACAGGGTACCAGGCGAGTTGGGAGGAGACTGAGTAGAAACGGGGGTTCTGGGTAGGGCTGGGTAAGGCCAGCACGCGTGAGACCAGCTGTAGGGTTTCCACGTTGTCCGTGAGTCCTGGCTTTCAGCCGCTGCTGTGGTTTGTTGATAAGTGCACAGCTGGGGTCCCATGCAGGCCTGCAACTCGGGTGGGATGTCCCTCTGTCCATTTCCCTCTTCTGTGACAGAGCATGGGTTTTGCCAGGGAGTGGACAGGAGCCCTGCTGGGTCCCAGGGCATCTGTGGAGGTCAGCCCTGGCCTTGAGGTGGGGATCCCGATTTGTCTAAGCCAGTCTGAGCTGGGCTTCCTGTTACTTGTAGCCAGATGCATCCTTAACTGTTGCAGGAGAAGAGACCATCCAGGCCTCCCCAGGGATCGGGCGCCTGCTGGAGGGGCAGCGTCAGCTGGACTCTTGAGAGCTGCCTGGGAATGCAGTGTTCCCAACACCCTAAGCAGAGGACCCTGGACAGATGGTCACCGCTGTTGCAGCCATCGCCTTGACCCCTGGGAAGCTCGGGCCAGAGTCCTGCCCCTGCTCCTGCTCCAGGGCTAAGGGCCAGAACCCAGAGAAAAACCTTAGTGCCCCCGAGACACCCAGGGCCTCCTGACAGCCACGGCCAGGTGGCATGGGACAGACGGACACATCCACAGATCCTCCCTCAGGCTTCGCTGCACCCCTGAGCTGCTTGAGTGTGTGTGGACCCCCCAGGAGTAACGTAGCCCAGGTTCTTGTGACCTGGCCCCTGGGGGGCATTGCTATACCAGCTGGGTCCCTCTTGCAGCCGCATCGGTGAGATATTAAGTCAGTTTCCTGACAGTGTTCAGAACCAAGTAGAAATCTCGTCCTCCCTTGACTTCGCAGTAAGGTTTGGCTCTCTGTGTCCCGCCTGGCGTGCAGGGAAGGTGTTTTAGACAAGGCGTTTTGAGAGCCTTTGAGAGGAGGTGGGAGAAAGCAGCTGGGTGGAGCTACTGCCTCCTGACTCCTGGAGTTCCTGGTGGGTGGCTCCTGGGCTGGCCCAGCCTCCCTGATCTCCCTTCCCCTCGCCCTCACGTGTTGCACATGTTGCTTGAACATTTGCCAGGTGCCTTGTCTTGGAGGCCCTAGGGCTACAGCGGGAACACAGCAGAGCTGCCCCCGAGGCTTCCTCCCAGCCCAGCCAGGACGCCTGAGGAGCCCCCAGCACCCCCCACCTTTTGTCATGCTTCGTAGTGGCCAGTGACTGGACAGTCGCCTGCCCACCTGGCACCTCTGTGTCCTGGAGGGGCCTCCACTGGGCTGGACTGTCCACCCCACGTGACCAGCTGTGGTTTTCAGCCATTGTGTGGAAACCCCATCGTGGCATGAAGGCTTTGCTTGCGTATTAACTGTTGCAGTGTGGTTCTTTGGAAATCCACCGTGGTCCAGCGTGCCTTAGAGGGCTCCCACCTCCTGCTTCCCGCCTCACCTCCCCTCCTTCTGCATCTTTGTGGGGAGATGTGGACCTGGTAGACACCCCGGAGGGAGAGAGACCACAACGGAGAGCCCCTGGCAGCCCTGTTGGCCTTCTCTGGGCACTGTGTCGTCCCATAATTTTCATGCCCTGTGTGTCTGGGTGAGGGGGGGACGTCTGGCGCCCAGCCCCCTCCCCGCTTCTTGCTGCCTCCTCTTCTCCAGGCTTGCCAAGAATGTCGGGAAATCAGGGGGAGGGGGACACAGGAAATGCCTCCTTCCCTCTAAGGACAGCTCCAGCTGCAAGTGGAGGGAGCTGGGGGAGGGGCGCAGGCCAGTGGAAAGTTGTCCCCCCGCCAAGGCAAACCCGCACGGCCCAGCCCTGCAGACAGAAGGGCTCTTTCTCCCTAATTTTGGCCCATTGTGAATGTCCTGTGAGCAAGGAAATCGAGGCCCTGTCCCTCAGCGGTCTCCTTGCTTACAGGCAGGTCTCCTCTGAGAGAAGTGAGGTGTCTTCCCTTAGCCGTTTAAAGTGGGGTCTTGTAAAAAGCAGATAAGGGCTCACTCCCCCAGCTATCTGTTCTTCGCCATTTGGGAGACACATTTGGCCGTCAGGGTGAATCTGCTTCCACCCCAAACCCGTTCTCGTGAGGGCTGACCTAAGCGCTGACTATGGTCCGTTCTCTGGGAGGCCACCCTCACGTCACCGTCACTGCAGGAGGGGCCTGAGCGTCCCCAGTCTTCACAGTCTTCATGGCAGGAGCCTGGCCTCCTGTAAGTGCACTCTCGGGGTAAAACCGCTCTGAACAACCTCAGACAGTGCCCCAGTCTCCTCGCCTTTCTTGGTGACCTGCAGGAAAGGTTTCTTCCTGGAAATGGCCATGTTACCCCACACCTCACATACGCACCTTTTAAAAAGATAAACTGAGACTAAAAAACAACTGAGGGCCCGCCCTGTGGCTTAGCGGTTAAGTGCGCGCGCTCCGCTACTGGTGGCCCGGGTTCGGATCCCGGGCGCGCACCAACGCACCGCTTCTCTGGCCATGCTGAGGTCGCGTCCCACATACAGCAACTAGAAGGATGTGCAGCTATGACATACAACTATCTACTGGGGCTTTGGGGAAAACAAAAAAAAGGAGGAGGATTGGCAATAGATGTTAGCTCAGAGCCGGTCTTCCTCAGCAAAAAGAGGAGGATTAGCACGGATGTTAGCTCAGGGCTGATCTTCCTGACAAAAAAAAAAAAAAAAACTGAGAAGACAGGCTGTAGCGTAGGTATTTAAGGAAAATAGAATAGGAGACCACGATTATCCTAATTAGATCATCTGAACCTGGGTCTCAGAGTAAGTGAGGGCCAGAGCCCAGGTGGGACGGGGGTGGGTTGCTGCAGACCCTGTGCAAGAGGTCTACCACATTGCTGTTGGTGGTGGGCGGTGCTTTCAGAAACCGTGGAAACCCTCATATTCCTGTGAGCCCACTGCCTCTGACCCCGCCCTCCACCCTGTATTCCAGGGCCTGTTACCCTCCTCTCTGCCTGTGAGAAGGTATGGGGGGCTCCTGTCCTTGCTCCCCAGCTGGGCTGCCGCTGTCTCCTAGAGACCATCCTCTGTGTGGGCCTTGGCTTCATGCAGTGAGGGAAGGGGGCCCAGTGGGGTGTGGTGTGTGACAGCAGGGGAGCAGGTGCCGGAGCTGGTGTTGGCAGTGGCAAGGGAGGGGGTGTTCAGGTCCTGGGCCAGAGCACCAGGTGCAGGGATGTCACCCAGACACTGGCCTCGCAGCCTTGGTGAGAACCTTGGTGCCCTGAGCCCAAGCCGCCTCTACCTGCCAGGCCCGCCATCCTGGGTAGGCTTGCCCCCGGCCCGCCTCTCTTGCTGTTGCTGGGGGCCTAGAGCCTGTCCTTGGATGCTCAGCTGTAAGGGAGCAATAGGGGTCTTGGGGCAAGTTGACCAGTTTGTGAGTCATGAGGAATTGTGCAGTTTAGGGAGGCGTAGTATTTCAGGCGTCATGGTTCCTATCGTATGGAGGGCCGTGTTTGGCGTTAGTGATGCTGAGTGCTGCGTTCTCCTGCTATTGGCTGCTCTGAGGTAGCAGAGACTGTGTTGCTATTTTTCAGATGAAAAAGCGGTTGTGGTCTGAATTCTTGAGTCCCCTGCCTCAGACCCCTGTTGCACACACAGTCCTGGCTCCTTGGGGTCCTTGCGGGCCAGCGTCCACCTGGGCCCATCGTGGCCCACACAGCCACCTCCCTACCTGCAGGCGGAGCTGGCCCAGGGCCTGTCAGGGCTCCTTGTCCCCCACCCCACAAGGCAGTAACTGAACCTCAGACAGGAGAGGGTGGAGCCCTGTGGAGACCTTCAGCCCGTTTGTCAGTGATGCTCGTCGCACTTTGTGGAGTGTGTCATTTTGTCAGTTTACCAAGGAGAATGCGCGTTGTTCCGGAACCATTCTGGAGGCCTGGCCCTTCTGTGTGCTGTTCGGAGCCACTGAAGGTTTGGTGCCAGCAACAGGCCAGTGGCTTCTGGGCTCTGGGTATCTGTGTCTCCATGTTCAGAACACAGTCATGTCTTTGGGGAACTATGAGCCATTTTGCAGCCTGGGTGCTGGGGATGCACCAGGGACACACCAGTGGTGACTTCGCCATCCGTGGCCAGCCTTGTTGCCACAGCGCGGAAGTTGAGGCGGCTGCTGCTCGAGCTCTGAGCTGCCCTGTGGTTGGGCAGCGCCACCCCTCCACTTGGGCTGGGCTCAGTGTTGTGTCTGTTTCTATGGAGAGAAAACAGCGACTGCCCGGGAGGAGGCCAAACAGACCCAGCCGTGTAGGCGGGGCGGGCGGGGCAGCCACACATTTCCACTTCCTGACTGGGAAGCGGGTGAAAGTGCTCTGTCTCTCTCGAGCTGCCCGTTAAGGCCAGGACCGTCTGCAAGAGTGGGGCCTTGTGGGCCAGACACCGTCTCTGCAAATGCAGGGCCCGTGCCGCCTTTCCTCCTCTTTGTCTCCTGCCCCCTCTGCCTCTGGGGGGACCTGCCCGAGGGGAGACCTTTAGGCAGCTGCAGAGTGGAGGGCAGGCACCCGGGAATCCCTGTCCTGGTGGGAGTGTGCAGCTGGGTGGAGATGACTGCACCGAGTCTGGGGCCCGGCTGCACTGTATGTAATGACTGGATCCACGTCTTCCTCTCTGCATACTCTTCCCCTGTGATCCCACTTCCCACACCCACCTTGCCTCTGTTCTCCTTGCTTGGTGTTGGGTCACCCTGCTTTCTCTCCGGGCCTTTTGCAGGCATGGGTGTGACGACTCCTGCAAAGGTGAGGGGCTGAGACCTCATCCCCCTGCTTGTCATACATTGCTGCCTCTCGGCTACCAGCTCCATGGGCATCACATCCCAGGAGCCCCTCCAGAGGAACCCGGGCCCCCAGTGTGGCACCTCCCCAGCCGAGGGCAGCCCCTCGAGTACGTGACCTGCAGGGAGGTTCCCTAGGCTGCTACGGGGTGGCAGTGTCTCCTGCCGACCCGGAACTTGTGCTGCCAAGACATCTCCTAGCGTTGAGTTCCCTTCCCTTCTGCCCCAAGGAGGCCGTGCGCCTGGAGGTGGAGGGGTGGGAGCGGATAGGGCTTTGGGGGCCCACCCTCATCTGGGGGCACTGGAGGCTGACTGGCTGCACCCACCCCGGGGCTCTGCTGTAGCCGCAGTGGTGGGAGGGTGAAGTCACTGCTCTGGCTGTGGTTCTGCAACTGTCCTCATCAGTGGCCGGGGTAGAGGGGGGAGTTTAGGGACACTGTGCATGCTTCTTTGTGTGAACGCACCCCTAAACTAGACCTTCCTGATGATCAAAAGAAGAAACTTTCATTTTGTAGTTTGAATTAGCATGGAAAACCCTTCTACTCTTACTGAAATATAGGTTTATTACTTAGTGTTTGGACCTACTAGAATATTCTTGAGTCTGGGTGGGCAGTCTGAAACCATGCATCAAGCTCTGGTTCCCAGGTCAGCATGCGGCAGTTTTTGTGGAAACCTGGCCTCGTGACGCGGCGGAGCTGGGCCTCCACCTCTCCTCCCCGTGGTTCACGGCTCTGCTGAAATATCTCCAGTGAATTTCCATCTTCTGTGACGTCAGCCGGCTTTTTGCATACATTTGGAAGGGTTAACAAGTGGACTTCAAACTTTTCCTTGGGAAGATTTTGTTTTTTAACAGATTAGAGAATAGTTTCCAAGTTCCCTTGTCTGGTGTGAGCGGAGGTTCAGCTGTGAGGCTCTCAGCTGGGTGGCCCCCCCAGGTGGCACTCCCAGGTACTTGTGGGCTCTATGTGGGCCAGCACACTTGAATGCCCGTCTGCTTGAGTCTGGCTTCTGTGGGAAGCCCTTTTCCCTGCCTTCCTCAGGACTGTGTGTGGCCATTGCTGAGTTCTTGTAACCCGATGCCCCTTGGCCCTGCCCCTTAGGCCCCTCGCAGGCGCCTCCTGCGGGAACCTTGTTGACAGTGTGAGTCTAGGTGTGTCCAGGGCCAGCTGCACAATTCGAAGGGCCCTTGCCCTGAAGCAGGAAGAAAGCGCTAAAGCCACTAAGATGCAAAGCCCTTGCCTCTTCTGCGGTCTCCCAACTTGTCATGGTAGTTTTTATTGCTATTTAATGTCGTTTGAAGTACAGAAAAATCAAAAACTTAAGTTATTGCTCTAGGTTTACCATTCATCTTTATGTTGTGCAACGCCGGCTTTAAATGCAGATGTGAGAGCTTTTAACGCATATGCAGGATCACTGAAATTGCACAACTTGTATTTTGTGCCTTGAACATGCATATGTATTTCGTTCTTACCAGAACAGTGGAAACACTGCACAAAAGCTAACTCAGCTGTTTCTCATTCACTTCTCGCTGCCACACGTTCCACCACCACCCTCCGCCTTTGCTCACTGAGGACGGGGCAGGGCTGAGGGGAGGACGACCGCGGGGCCCCATCCCCTGTTCCTTTCATGTCTCTGCCTTTAGCGTGGGTACGAGAGGCCAGGATGCCTCCCTGGCTGTGTGTGTTGGGGACACATGGCCCTCCCTCTGTCTGAAGGGAAGCCCTGGCCTCTTGGGGCTCTGAGCACCCGTCACGCGGTCATGGCCCTAACTCGCTTTCCTTAGTCTTGCTGGCTCCACGCACACTCCATTGTCCCATCAGACTTCGCTTATAGCACTTTATCAAAGATGAAATTTTCACAAATTTCAAGATGGCGACTGCAGAGCATTAAACCAGTGCACAGGTTGCTTGCCTACAAAGCCAGCCCTGGGAATAGCTTATCTTTAGATTAAAGAGTAAACGAGCAGAGGCCTAGCTTGTGAGCGCCCAGAGGGCAGGCATCCCCTTTCCCACGCTCCTCCTGCCTCCAGAGGTGCTATGGGGGTCATATGTCCTAGAAGGACTCTTGGCTCATTGTGTGGGTGCCAGTCTCTGGGGGGCCTGGCAGACTTGCCCTGTTCTATGTGGAGATAGGCTGCTTGTCTTCTTCCCGGTGGACACCTCTTGGGGATATTTTTGTTTAGATTTTGAAGATGGAAAAGTGTTGGTCATGGACAGAAAAAATTCCGATCTGGAGAGAAACGGAAATTTCCCGGTGTGGGCAGTTCGAACTCCAAGAAGCATCGTTAACAGGCTCTCCACCCAAGAGTGGTGGCAGGTGCTGTGGGCCCCACCTCAAGGTGGGCTGCTCTGAGGGTCTGCTCCCAACAGACGTTAGACATTCGTTAGGAGGTGGAGCCTGGAGCCAGGCAGTGCTCCCCACCTGAGTCCATCTTCCCTCCAACGGGGGATCTCGCCTGAGTGGGATGGGGTGTGTGGGCTACAGACCTCATCCTCAGAGGGCCTCACAGGGTCCAGGCGGCACGGGGAGCCAGGGGGCCGGCCGGGGGTTGTTTTAGAGCAGAGGTACCTCATTCCTCCTCCCTCTGCCTTTTTCAGAGCCCCCTTTGCGGTGTGCTGGGTGCATTGCTGCAAGGCCAGCACTGAAATGCAGGTCTGGTGGGCGGGCGCTGTGGAGTCACGTTTCCCGTGTGCGTCGTGGGGTGCTCAGAGTCGGGGCGTGCAAGGCACCCTGTGGTTCCCTCACTGACCGCGGGGGGCCTTTGCCACCGTGGCCCGGGCCAGCAGCAGCGCTTCTCACATTTCTTTCATGTTTCTGATGAAGTTGTATCTGCACATCGATAAACTGAAGGCCAAAGGTTATACTTGCCCAGCTCTGAGGGTGGACTGTAGTCGGCCCGTTGGGGTCCTGGCAGTGCCCTTGCGGCTCAGGTGATGGTGGGCTGGGATCTGGGGTGTGGAGTTTGGGACGTTCTTCCAGGCATGGTGCTCTTTGTCTTTGGACCCCTCCAAAAAACCAACCAACCCTGTGCATCTGTTTCCTGCACATGTGCAGATGCCAGGCTTCATGGGGCGTGGACAGCGGTTTCCCTGTTGTGCTGGGAGCGTCTCTCCAGAACCCCATCTCACCTCCTCCAGAACCCCAGCCGCCAGGTTGTCCTCCTTCCCCACTCCTGGGCTCCCACACCCGCCTCCCGCGTCTCCCATCATAATTGAGCTGTTATGCATAATTCATGACAGGGCACGAGCCGGGAACCTTTGTGCGTGGGAAGAGGGGGTGGAACGAATAGAAGGCTTTCTTTGCATGGAGATTTGGCGGGCTCGGGCTTGCCAGCGCTCCCGGCCCAGCTGCTCTCCCTGCGGGAATGGGTGGCAGGTGAGATGGTGCCTGGGGAGGTGTGTGGCCAGGGACACGACCCTTCCATGGGGTTGGGTGTTCTCCAGGGTGGGAAATGGAGCAGCCCTCAGCTGCATCCTCCCTGGGAACTCGGGACCGCTCTCCTGGGCCCCTAGGTGCTCTGCTGGTTCCTCCCTCTGAGATTCAGCACCTTTCCCTCCACTCTCGGCCAAGGCCTGGGGAGATGCACCAGATTCCAAGATCCTCGGCTGGCGTCAGATTCGGTGTTTTGAAGAGCGAGAAGGCCATTTACTGGAAGGCAGTGAGAGGCAGGAGGCGGCTGGGTCCCAGAGGCCTCTGATGGTGGCTTCCACTTGAATTCTGAGTTGGGTGTGTCCAAGGATTCGGCAACACCTCGGTTCAGCCCCTCGGCCAGCATCTGGGCTGATGTCTTGTACTGATGTGACCACACATCGGAGAAGCAGGGGATGTCTCTCTTTCATGAGCACCTGTCCCAGGGCTGCCCGTGAGCCCAACCCTGCCAGCCTCCCTGGATTTGGTTCTGAAAGAAGTTTCTTTCCGTCCTTTACTCTGGGAAAGGCCTTGTCAGGCCCCTGGGGCTGGGCCAGAGCTGACAGCTCCCTGAACGCTGCCATGCAGGGTGGCCTTGTCAGGCCTCACCCTGTTTCCGACTGTGTCCTCCCACACCGCACACCGACTTTCAAAGCACCCCTTTTTCCTCTGAGGGATTTCCTCTTTGACAGATTACAGATTACACACAATAGGGCACATGCCACAGACGCACCCCATGTCCCCACACATACACACACCCACAGAGATCTTTATGTGCCCGCATCCTCGTCTGAGCGTGGCAAGTATGGCTGTGAGTCAGGGATGTAGCCTTTGCCCTGGATGCAGGGTCGGGTGGTGGGAGAGTGTGGGAGGTCCCTGTGGGTTTAAGGAGAGCTACCCAGGGTCTCCGCCCCAGGCAGGGCTTTTGACTCCTTGGGGGAGGCGGTTAGCAGAAGCTGAGGGTGCAGGGCCTTCAGAGGGTCCCTGGGGCCTGCAGGGCAAGGTGGCCGCTGTCTGCGTGGGAGGCAGCAGAGATGCTGTGGAGGTGTTGAGGAGGGTGGTGGTGGAGGAGCCCATGGCACCTCCTGGCAGCAGATGCAGGAGAAGAGGGCCAAGGACACGC